AAACTCGCCATATCTATTTACCAAGAAGGCTTTGCGTAACATTTAAATTACGTATGACATGCATAAATGCTCAGCTTGCTCAATATCAAAACGTTCAGTCATTTATTTACCTCAAAAAGAAATTATCGCGAGTTAAAAATGTTTCGGCCAAACTTCTCGGCACACAACTACCAGAAACGGCCATTGTTGACTTTTGGCACTTCACGTTGAGCGGCATGCAGTCCGATATTTTCTTTATAATTTCATCATTTTTCCTATTCGATCATATTTTTTTGTTTGCTGACGAAAGGAAAACACTCATGTTCCTTTATTTCTAAAAAATAGCAACTTTCGGTGTAACTAATTGTAAACAAAAACAATCTGAATCGTAACATCATCGATTGGATGGAACTTGTACGATCATGGCAACGGCGGTAAACAAACAACTCCACATGCATAGTTATCCCGTTAGACTATTACAATCATTTTGTTACATCTAACTTAATTTTCTAGAATTATTGACACGTATGTATAAATCTTTGTAAAAAGAATTTCATTTTTAAAGAGTTTGCAAATGATTTCGTTTGATAAACTTTCCGACACATTGACAACCCGACAAACGTTAGAGATACGTTTGGGCGTGGCCTAACTCGCGATTTGTTGAGTTGAACAAAGTAAACAAACACTGCGAAAAATGACAAATATTGGATGATACGCAAAATCTGAACTGATATACATTCTAGGTAAACCATTCAATAGCAAAATAATGCATTTTACGAGAAATAATCAAAATACTTGCAATTTTTGCTATCATTTCTGAAACCGGAAGCACGTACCGCATGACACATGGAAGCAAAATATGCAAAAGTTGGTAAGCTATCATAAAGAAATTCCGAAATAGATTCAAATTCAAAAGAAAATACATAATTTACAATTTTTCGTCAACTATTTACTATTTATTGATCTGGAGAGCAGTCATCACTCCTATTTGTTTCATATTTCTTCGTGATTACCGCCATCAAATGTAAGTCAAAATCCGAAACCGTGATGGATTTCACGCTCGATGATTTTAATTTTAAAAATATTTTCTAAAAACGAACGCAACGGAGAGTGATACAACGAATTGATATGCCATAATAATAACATAATATTGTTATTGGTCTAACATTAAAAAAAGAACAATTTAAATATTAAAGATGTTGTTGAAAACTTTCTGAGAACCTCCCGTCCTCTGAACCGATAAAATTTTGGTACACAACGAGGTAGGCTAGTGCAAATATATATAGATTCTAGGCTCCTATATATGTGATTTTTTTACCCCAAACAAATTAAATTGTACCCAAAATACTTTGTGAATTTGTACCTAAGAAAATAAGACAATAGATCTATAATTATATTTATGTTTTCATGTAGATGAACAGAACACATGATAAAATATTTCATCAAGTTCCAAATATGATTATGACTGTGATCCTTAAAATTGATTGTTTAGTGTTGAGAGAAAATTGACGTCTTGTCACTGAAGGAGAGGCCAGTTAAGTTGGTTAAACCTAAGTTAGAATGAATTGTTTTGATAAGAAAGTGATATTATGTTAAGTTTAAGACACCAAATTAATGTATATCTTTGAAATAATTCTAGGTAGATCTACAAAATCACATACCCATTTGGGTAACAAATTACTAGAAATTTTGGGTACAAAAGTCACCACTGTACATTTCAACTGATTTTCGTGAATCAATGGGATAAAATATTTCGTCTGAATGATTCCTTTTCTCATTTTTTAAGACAAGAATTTGTTTTACATAACAAAACAGGCAGATCTACATGGATCACGTTTAGTCCTAAAAATGTGAAAAATATGGACACCTCAGAAATGAGGGCTTATAAGTATAATTCTACCTAACTAGTCACATGGTTTGACTTAGATCTAGGTCTATCTAAGAAAAGTCCTTATGAAAATCTTTTTTTAATTTTTTTATGACACTGACATTTCTGGCACTTAGACGAAGAGTATTCAAGGAAAGACATATGTTTTTGAATGAAAATATGACTTTCCTTTATAATTCTTTTTTCATGATGACAGGGGAACTTTTATACACAACAGCTGAGGAAGTTGTGATACTGTGATTGCATACAAAGAAAAAACAGGTTGGAAGCAGTACCTGTATGTATAAAATAGACCACATAAGGTGAACAAAAGTAATGGATTGGCTGACTGGAAAAAATACATCTGGCAAGGGTAAACATGTACACAGGCATGTTTCTTTTCATTCCAACCAGAAGACTGAGATAGCATTTTCTAAGACACTTATGGCAAACTTACCAGCTCATGTGCCACCATGGTTCTTGTGATTAAACGAACAAAAATGTCATGTACTGTTACAAGTACTGTTAATGTAATTAAATTAAATTAATTCCTATTAAATTATATTTCAGAATTGTTTCATTTGGAACAAACCACATAATGCACAAGATTAATGTCCATATGAGTTTAGTATGTATATGTTAAGGATCGGATTTATTCATTATTCATGGAATACTAAAATTAAAATGATGACATCAGAGAGTTACTTATTCACATAGTTGATTTTCAGAGTGCAAGATAATAATTGATGAATATGTGTTTAAACTAAAGATAATAATTGAAGTTTGATCAGTTACACTGTGCTGATGCAAAGACTAATATTTACTGTCCCCACACACCATCATTGTGGGAAAAATAACTATTTAATATAACTTAAAATTTTAAAACCTGTAAACAGCTGTAAATAATTACACAATTACAAATCTATCATCAATACGCAATCATGGTGGTCTTCATATTTTTGGAATAAATTTAGAAATCCTTCGTGTAACTGTTCTAGAATCATGCTAGAATCTATGAATGTATTCCCGAAAGGAAAACTATCCTAAATGTAATGTGGAACTAACACCGAAAATATGTACGTAGCATTTAATTGCTTATATATACCCTATCATATTCAGCAACGCGGGGATGTTATTTTGAAACACGTTTTGCCCATTTTCGCGCACCTGTTGTTGAGGGTGATCTTGCTGATCGACGAAATCCATAGACGTATTATGTGGGATACACTTGTTGTAGTGAAACTTATCAGCGTGTACATCGCAGAAATATGAATCATGTACCATTTATATTCACAACATTGAATGGTGATTCTTAAATATCAACAGAAGTTCAAATAAAAGATACCGAGAAACTTGCATGTTGCATGTTGATTTATCGTCTACCGTTTCCGGGTCACGGGAGCATGCAAGGTCAAACGGATTAACTAATACGTGAATTATATCGTCAAAGTCACATTTTTATTTCATGTTAGTGGTGATAACTGATACTGTGTATCGACTTCTCTTTTGCTGTATGTGATAGGCGAAATATTTCAAAAATTACTGTAATTGTTTTGTTTCGAAAGCTTATCAGCAGACTACCCCTGTCTGTGACATCACATCCGGTGACCTTTGCACTTATTGAAATAGTGCTGTCAGAATTCACGATCTTTATTTTCATTTTTCTCTCGTCATATTTATTGGAATATGACGAATAAAACATTCTTCGATTGAGAAGATCGTCAACTTTCGCCAAGTTATATTTATAAAGGCAATGTAAACTTTGTTGATATTAAAATAGCAATAAGTTATGCGGAGGTCGGGCGAAGCGCGCCATGTTTGATTTTAGGACGTCTGCTAGCATCATGACACGGGTTGTTTATTTTTGTATATCGTAAATATTCAACCAAAACGCTTGAAATTAGGATTAGTGAATATTTATAAGTCATTAATTGTTTCCTGCAAATTTTATAACATGACACGTCAGATTAACCCGAATATTCGTATTTCTGCAACCGACATGATGACCTCGAAAATTAAGTTATTTTTCTGTTTAACGTTTAGATAATAAATTCACTGAAATGGTTCATAATTTACCATCGCGATGATATATGCCGATTATAAAACCCGAATTTTTACTCAATTAAAATTAAGATATCGGAGATATGATTATTGAAATCAATTTGCACAAATGTTACGATATTAAAAGGTTCCTAGCATGAAATGCAAACCACCTTCAATAACGCAATTCAGGTAAGTTCAAGAAAATTTACAAATTTTGTGTTCGCTTTGGTCTTAACCTTGGTATGATTGAAAACATCGGGATATTTTTATATAGTATTGTGTAGTTTTCTATCAGGAATAAATGTGCAAAATATTTCTTCAAATGGCCCTTGTTTAATGAGGCACCGACTGTTTGAAATCACCCACGCTCTTTAGAGCGCCTTATGCTAAAATTAATCCAGCAGGCAGGGGTAAGAAGTGTGAAAATAATTCAGCAGGCTAAAGGTTAAGACCTATTCTACCCTGGATCTTCACGGGTCCCACCCATTAGGATTGAGCAGGGTTGGGATCTCAGTGTTATAATTGTTGTTATTCCATAACATGCTGGTAGAACTATGAGTGAGTGAGTGAGTGAGTTGAGTCTAACACCTCTATGAACAGTATTCCAGTTATAGTGGTATTTCTGTTTGATTTTGGAGGAAAGCTTTAAGTTATGCACCTAGAAACATACAGGGCTAGACAGGATTCAAGCCCATGATCATAAGTTCTGGCAAAGTGAACTGTGGCGCCGTGTCACCTAGAACTATGAAAGTTATTGCACAAGGGTCATAACTTTTATAGCACTTTGATCGTATTGGAAATTGGATTTGTTCCCCAAATAGGCCGTCTTGAGATTGTTCAAGGTAAATTTAAAACATATTCACGATCTCAAGATGGCCTATTTGCTGTGATTGTGAACTCAGTTCAAGGTAAATTTAAAACATATTCACAGAGTTCACAATCACAGTAATCACAGCCTTGTGACTGTGACCGTTATCCTTCAGAATATCACAATTATTTCTTCGAATCAGTTGTCTTGACTACATTCTTGAACTGTGACTATTACCTACAGACTATCACAATTATTTCTTCGAATCAGTTGTATTGACTACATTCTTGAACTGTGACTTACAGAATGCGACAAAGCAGAGCACGATCATCTCCTTCCAGGTGTTGTAGAGGTCGCTGAGCACCTTGTGGAAGGTGTCGCTGCTGTTCAGGAAGTTGATGATATTGCCCAACACCTCCTGAGGCAGCGTGGACAGCGGTGACGGAACACAACGATTCAGCAGAGGCACACTGGAACACACATAGGTGAGTGACTGAGTGAGATAGTTGGGTTTAACGCCCCTTTTAACAGTATTCAAGTCATATCACATTGTGTCAGCGTGTCTGCAAATAATATATACTGCAAATCACAAAGGATGTAAATAAATATTACTGAAAAGTATGAGTGAGTGAGTGACTTGGGTTTAACACTGATTTGAACAGTATTACAGTTATATCGCGGCGTGTCAGCCTGATGTGGGAGGAAAGCCCGAAGTGATGCAGGTCTCAGATGTTTACTGCTTTTGTGAAACCCACGAGCACAGTATGGTGCTGATAAACCAAGAAACATAATCAGGGCGACCCTTGATTCGAACCCACAATCATTGATTTGTGGTGTGTCAAAGGGAAGCAACTCTGTACAGCGAATTGTGCAGCCTTAGATGACAGGGCCACCCGTGCACCCTCAAACAGGTGAGATGACAGAGAATCAGTAAACCAAGGTTATTCCCCAACTCTACTACTGGAACACAACCAGTTGATACATACAGAAATGCCCTGCTTGTTTCAGTACATACAATAACAGCCATATTGGCCAGCTCAAATCCTGCACTGGACCTCAGGTGCTTCTATATGATGTGGTAGATTTGAGCATATTATGGAGTGAGTGAGTGAGTATGGTTTTACACCGCTTTTAGCAATATTCCAGCAATATCACGGCGGGGGACACCAGAAATGGGCTTCACATATTGTACCCATGTCGGGAATCGAACCCGGGTCTTCGGAGTGATGAGCAGACGCTTTAACCACAAGGCTACCCGACCGCCCTGCATATTATGGACAGTCGATTAATAAATGGCGATATATCCTGCTAAGATATATACAATAAAATAAGAGTGTAAATAGTTTGTAGAAACATAAATTGACATTAACAATTCAAACATATGCATTAGGAGATCAACTCTGCATGCCACATGCCTCAAACGAAGATCAATGAAGCATCTACCAAGGCTTAATAATACTGACCTCTTTTTAACTGGGGTCATGGGGCAGGGGCCCTGGAGGCCCTGTGGCCCCTGAAGGTTTTCATAATCGTCCTTGGTGACATCGTATCGGCACAAATGTGACCCCGTTGTCTTGGAGAAATGTGCCACTTGTCTCAGGTCATCCAGGTCTTCATGGGGACACTTGTTGACACATATCCTCATTGATTCCTTTGGGTGTTCAACATCCATGAAAAACACATACCTGTAATGTGAATAGTGAGTGAGTGAGTTTGGTTTACGCTGCTTTTAGCAATATTCCACCAAAATCACGGCAGGGGACACCAGAAATGGGCTTCACACATTGTACCCATGTCGGGATTTGAACCCGGGTCTTCGGCGTGACGAGCTTTAACCACTAGGCTACCCGACCGCCCTGTAACGTGAATACCCTTCATTAGTGAGTGAGCATGGTTTTATGCTTCTTTTAGCAATATTCCAGAAATACCACAGCAGTGGACACGTCCGCGAAATGGGCTTCACACATTGTACGCATGTTGAGATTCGAACCCGGGTCTTCAGCATGACCAGTGAATGCTTTAACCACCAGTCTACCCCTCCGCCCCCACATCACTATTAGTATTCTCTACAGTTCATGATTCTTATCGACACACTTGAAAGGATGTTGAAGAGGAATTTAAGAACAAAAGTCATCCACTGCAAAATGTCCAAATTAACATCAAAACTTTGTAGGTTGTCTGTTTTCCTCACACGCCGGTGCAATGATGGCTTAACATAAAACAACTGCCAAAGGCTAATTTGCATATCTCATGATCCAACTTATCTCTTGTTTGTAAACAAACATGCTTATCCTGAATCGGAGACTGGCCTAATGATAGCCTTTCAGTGCACATTACTTATTGGTTTGCATAATTTTATAGATATCTCACTAAAACAGCAACAGTGAAGATCATGTTCGCTTGTTTGCTTGTTTGTTGTTTAACGCCGCACTTAGCAATATTCCAGCTATGAGACAGCAGTCTGTAAATAATCGAGTCTGAACCAGACAATCCAGTGATTGACATCATGAGCATCGATCCCCGCAATTTGGATCAATGACATGCATCAACCATGTCAGCAAGCCTGACCACCCGATCCCGTTAGTCGCCTTTTACGACAAGCATAGTCACCTTTTACGGCAAGCATGGGTTGCTGAAGACCTATTCTACACTGGATGTGAAGATCATGACACTATATCTTCATATATCAAAGTGACCGAATCGCTAATTTTCCATAGGGCTTCCTTGACAGCACATGGAGCCATACAACCAATGCAAGCAGATGATAAGTACGCACATGGAAATAGTTTTTCAAGTTTAGGGATATTTTCTTAATGAAAGTAAATCATTTAATGACATATGTTTATCTAACTATGTACACTTTTCAAAAATGAAAAAGGTGAAAAATGAATGTAATTCATTTTCGGTTCATGGAAACATAAACACACATAAATAATGCTTGTTCAGCCAATAAATCAAATGCAGTGGAATCACTTGTGAATTATTTATTCAGGTGTGGCTATATGCTGTCCTTTCCGATAGCCGGCTAAGACACTGACAATGAGATTTACACATTGTGCTCAAGTGGGAAACTGTACTGGGTATGGCAAGCAAATGCTTCAACCACTTGGCTACTCTACCACCTATAACCAACGATGATACAACAATCATATTCAGTTGTTGATATGAAGCTAGTTGTTGATATGAAGCTAGTGGGTGAGTGAGTGGATGGTGGTTTGGGCCTGTCATCAACTACAGGAGAGTGAGTGAGTGAGTGAGTGAGTGAGTATGGTTTTACGCCGCTTTTAGCAATATTCCAGCAACATCATGGCTGGGACACCAGAATGGGCTTCACACATTGTACCCATGTAGAACCGAACCTGGGTCTTCGGAGTGACGAGCAACTGCTTTAACCACTAGGCTACCCAACCGCCCCCAACTACAGGAGAACATGTACTATATGGCTATAGGTTGTAGAGCCCATACCAGGCAAACCTTGTTTAGCGCAGCACTCAGCAATATTCAAGCTATATGACGGCGGTCAAGGTAGGAGTGAGTTGCGTTGAACACCACTATGAACACCACTATGAACAGCACTTCAGTGAGTGAGTGAGTGAGTGAGTGAGTGGTGACAGTGAGTGAGTCAGTGAGTCAGTGAGTCAGTGAGTCAGTGAGTATGGTTTTACGCCGCTTTTAGCAATATTCCAGCAATATCACGGCCGGGGACACCAGAAATGGGCTTCACCCATTGTACCCTTGTCGGGAATCGAACCCAGGCTACCCGACCACCCCTACACCCCTGTGAAGATCCGTATTACCAGCAACTGATTCTTGTCATAAGAGGCGACAAACTGAATCGACTCATAGGATCGGGAGGTCAGGCTTGCAGACTTGGTTGCATGTCATTGCATCCCAATTGTGTAGTACAATGCTCATGACGTCAATCACTGGACTGTCTGCTCAGAGCTGATAATTTACAGACAGCTGTCATTTAGCTGGAATATTTCTGAGAGCAGCGTTTCCTCCCGCAAACAAACAAACAAAACATACATGGCTGAAGTGTATCTATTAGAATTTCAAGCAGAGACAATCCAAGTCAAGCTTGACCTTGAGCAGCAATAACACCAGCAAACCCTAGGGAAACATTATCATGTTGATGCTTTCACACCACAACTACATGTTAGATGTATCAAGCCATGTCCTTAAAGACCACGATTTGAACATGATACTGGTGAACTTCCATCAACATAAAGTCTTTGATCCCTCGGTCGAGAGACATGTGGCTTTTATTAGCCAATAACACAATAACCTATCACACATTTAATACGAGATGGCGGTTCTTTGCATGTAATTATCCTTTCTTTGATATGGCCGTTGTTCTGTCGCTGTTGTTAATGCTGACTGTTGTTTTACCTGCTGTTGTGAGCAAGTTTCAGGGATTTGGCTATTTTGCACAGCAGGTTGATTTTGTATAGATTCCAGGCTTTAATATCCAACATCTGTTTACCTGATCAATTCCAGTCTCAATGCACAAGGTGAAATGTGATGGATGCTTGCACATTTCAAACAAAGAATATTGACAGTTGTGACTACAATTATTCTTTTGATTAAATATTGATGTATTGTGAAAATGAACAAACTGCTTATCAGTCAATACACTGTTCTATCATACTCAGTCTATCAACCCAAATTGAAATATATTACACACAATTAGGAAGAAAAGATATGGGTATTATTTGTTAATTTCAAAATGAAAACATATGGCTGTACCAGCTGGGAAGACTCAAGACCCATGAGCAATGAGAACACGGTGTGCGTTATCAAACATATTCTTTGAATCGTATTCAATTTATCAAAGAGTAAGATAATAATAACAGAATAATTTCAAAGCTGGAATAACTCATAGAAGATGGATATTGTAGATCTTGAAACAGAGCAGTTTTTAAGACAGTGATAAATATATTTAGTTGCTTATCTGTAGAAGACATCACATTCGTTTCATGTCTTTGGGCATAATAAGTAGCTACAGATATATTACTTCACATCATATGCGTGTAATGAAAGAGTTGCTTTTATACAGCTACAATCACAAACATTTACCTTCACAAGGAAATGACTAAACATGACAGACAAACTGTTTACAGAAAGTTCTATAATATGTTAGTTAAGTGTTTCAAAAGTACAGATGTGTTGCGAATCATTGGAAGTACTTTCGAAAATTAGAGCATTTTGAACTTTTTCAAAATTGTTCGTATTTACAAAGCAAGTAATGGAAAAGGTTTCCAATATGGCCGAGAAAAAATATGTTTTCAATTACATGCTTATCAGAATTGGACTGGTAGGAAGGCGATATACTGTTATCAGTACAATAAGTGCCTGGGTGTCAGAGGGTAATTAATGGGGATGGTTATTGGGAAGTTATCTGAGATTAGGCGTCTCGTTTAGTATATGTGCAGATTCATTCCAAGTATTTAGTACATACCATTATACCCAATGATTTAAATGACACAACTGCAAATACTCGTACCATCATACAATCAATCATTCTAGTTATTTTGACACATTTATTATACATTTTTAATTCTGAAACTGAAATAAAAAATATTCGCTGCGTATGGACAGAGACAAAGGTGGGTGGTGAGAGTCATGCATCATTAAGTATTGTAATGGGAGGATGATTAAGACGGGGTGCTAATTTTTTCATAATGAAAATATCCCTAAATGCCAATGTTGTTTAAAATTGTGTAATGGATGAGATACATTTCATAGCCACATGGGATTCTGGGTTAGAAAAGAACCCCAGCAACCTATGCTGGTTGGAGTGAGTGTGAGTGAGTTGGGTTTAACACCGCTTTTAACAGTATTCCAGTTATATCGCGGCATGTCAGCTTAATGTGGGAGGAAGTGATCCAGGTCTCAGACGTTTACCACTTCGGTGAAACCCACGAGCACGGGTATGGTGCTGACAAAACCTGGGAACATAATCGGGGTGAACCGTGATTCGAACCCACAATCATAGGTTTCTGGCGTGCCCAAGGGATGCAACTCTGCACAGCGAAACGCGGCGCCTTAGACGACTGGACCACCCGTGCCCCCTGCTGGTTGGGAGAGGTAACCAAATGGATCAGGTTGTCAGACTCGGTGACAGTGACGTGGCTGACAGTGTGTCCTCGTACCCTGACTGAGTGGATGGCTGTTCACACTATCGATCACTAGAGTGTCCGTCTGATTGGGGCATTTAACATTAACAACAAAGAAACAACAACATTTCATATACTACTCAAAAGAAGTTAAGGATCATCGATTCTTTCATATTACAATTGTTAATCTGCCCTGAAATGAGAGATTACCTTTAGCAATATGAAAGAATCGGGTGATCCTTAACTTCTTTTGAGTAGTATATGTATGATATCACTAAACTGTGAGGAAACAAAGGGAAGTAAATTTAAAATGTCAACATTAGAGAATAACCAGTCTGGACCATCTGCTGAAAGATTCCATTAGCGTAGGGCACAATAGCAGTGATGACACCTAATCTACAGTATGACCATCCATTCACACAATTTGCATAAAAATGTACCGTATTCGACGTAATAAGCGCCCACGGCGATATTTGCTAATATATTGGCCAGTGAACAATCTCAATTAGCACCCCTTCCAATTGATCAATGTACACAAGACTTATATATTCGTGTATAAAACGCACGCGTGTGTTTGTGCACACTTAATTAAATTCTGGAAAAATATATCTGTCGTACATAAACATTTCAGGCTGTTAGCATAAACCACAAAATTTATCATTTAACTCTGTTTTTTTTCACTAAAATAATATTCTAATAAGAACCCCCTATTTCTAATTTTTAGAGCGCCCTGGGCGCTTATTACGTCGAATACGGTATGTGTTTGTTTGCAACCTCCAGCCACATAGCAGTACCGGTCAAGATCCAGGTAGAATAGGTCTCAGCAAACCATGCTTGCCCCAAAAGGCGACTATGCTTGTCGTAAGAGGCGAGTAACAGGATTGGTCAGGCTCGCTGACTTGGATGATGCATGTCATCGTATCCCATTTGCAATGATCGAAACTCATGATGTTAATCAATGGTCCAGACTCAATTAATTACAGACCACCGTTATATAGCTGGAATATTGTGGAGTTAGGCGTTAAACAACAAACAAACAAACTCCTGCCATACAACTTGACCAGACAATCACGTGACGGATAAGTAAGGACTTGGGATCACATCTTCTCTACTTGACTAGAGCACAACAGAGGACACAGTATGGATGAGAAGAGGACAAAGCCACAAACTGAACATGATACTGTTCCAATCAATACCTAGTCTAACAGAGATACAACATCATCACCTATTCAAGTTCAAAGTAGGCTTAACCATCCATTTTTGTCTCAGGATCTCAATTCTGTTTGCTTAGGAAGACCAACATCGGCACTGTTGACCTACTCTGCCCTGGATGATGTTACAGGATGTTAAGACCTATAGAAAAACGACCTGCCGACACTTGTACTGGTGTTAAGTGTGCAGGAGACATAGTGGATTGAAACCAGATCCACTTTGGACAAATGCTGCTCCGGTAACTGAATCAGTTGACTTATCACCTCATTAACACACAGTTACGTAGAAGCAGAAATGTCACTATGTCGCAGTGCTACCTAGACAGATTTCACCTTCAGCTCTAGACAAAACTGCACTACATAACTTTAAATCTTTCCTGTTTCGAACATCAATCACTATTAGCTGTACAGATCATGCATATAAAAGCTCTGTTTCTACAGATGCCCTCTACTTTTGCGGTACAATCCAGCATGCTCTTTCTGCCAAGATTTCAAAGAGTATCATACGATTGTTGCTCAGAAGTTGTTTGATCAAGGTTACAACATTCATAGCCTCAGTAGAGCTTTCAAAAAGTTTTATGGTAGACATGTGGAGGACATTTCTAAATTTGAAGCATCAGTGAGAAATATGATGTCTGATGCAATTCCTTTCTTGACTTGTACCATATGATTCCGTGTTTTTTCAGGTGAACAATTGACTTGCCTTTGCATGTGTTTGTGATGGGTGCCACCGGTGGTGCAGAATATGCTCACCTTTTTGCAAACACCTGGTACCATTACTATTTGATAGCGATTCATAAACACATGCTCACGATATATAGTTGGAATCGTACAATCGACTCTGCTTTATGCAGAGATTTCTATTGGAAATGGAAAGGGTTTTATTGCTTTATTTCTAGTA